TCCCTTTTCATTTTCTAGTTTTTTTTTTATAGTCTGATTTACTTGTCATTTTCTTTCCTGACGAGAATATTGATAAAAACTATTATCAGAAGCCACTTATTCTTTCATCATTCCTTACCATTCTCCAGACTTCATGCTTGCAAACTGTTTCATAAATAATCATTATTTTCAAAAGCCAATAGTGATTTTTTTGTTTAAAACTTCTCCCATTTGAATCCCTGTATTTTTTTGGCCAGGTTCTCTTGTTAGCGATAATATTGATAATAATTCTAGTGTGGTGTTACTGATTATTATGATTATTCATCTTCTTGTCCAATTTTCTAGCTTTTTTCCTTTTGTCATACCCTAGCAATTCAGTTAAGAATAATGTGTTCAACTTTGAACCAGGTCTTGCCGATCATGATAACTACCATGAGTTTTGTCGTCTTCTTGGACGATTCAGAGTTAACTATCAGGTAGCTGATTTGTATACTTACAGTCTTTGATCTGTCCTTTATAAAATGCTATTAGTATGTTTTGTATTTGGTTGTGCAGTGATAACTCCTTACGACTATAGGCCTGTGCATGTAATACTTGATATACAAATCCATGTTATTTTTTTGGGTATTTTGTTCACACACATTATACTTGGTTTGAATATACATTCATCTTTTTTTGTACTTTCCTCCAATCTAAATTGTATGCAATGTTTCTAAATGGAAGTGTATGTTTCAAAATTTAAACAGTGGAAGTAATAAGGATTTAATCATGGGAAATGGGAGGATGGAAGTGACAAAGTAAGCATTTTAATTTTTAAATAACAATAATAAGATTTGAAATTTTGAAGTAAATTGGGGGCACAAGATTTTAGCAAGTTCAAAATTTAGAGCAACATGGAAACATGCAGAAGAGGAAGGACAATATTGTAGTGATTTCATGAAGCTACATCTTGTTTTCTTGGCTTTAGGTGTTTTGGCTTTCCCGTGTTTTTAAACCACAGAGATTCTATTCTGAGTGGCTGGGTGTAAATGATGATGATTTTGATAGATTTTTTATCCATAAATATTCTTCTCCCTGGTGTTTTATAGATTTTGTCAAAAAGAGAAGTTAAGGTACCTAATATAAAGCGAAGCTCTTACGATAATTGTGAGTGGTGAAATCAGTCCTGTTAGTACTTTTGGGCTAGAATTGGGATTTATGGTGGAAATAATCTTGTTGCACCCCTTCACCACCAATTTGTTTGGTAGTGTATGATCTAAGAATTTAATTAAAAGATGGATACCCATCTTCTGGGGTTTTATGTGCAAATTTGATTCATTGCCAATAGTATGAGCTGTGGCAATCCCTGTTACCTGAATTTCAGTTGTCATGAGTTCTGACGATAAAAGTAAGAAGTCGGAATTCACATGAAGAGTAGAAAGACATAAACATGAAAGAGACTTTATATTGGTCTTTATTCGAAGTATCAACAGCGAAGGGAGATAAATATGGAAAAGATTTTCAGTGATTCAGAATGCTAATTCGAAGATTATCAGAACCTTGATCTTTGGTTTTTTGTAATGTTTTTCCTGTGCTTTTATGATAATTCCTGGTTGTTCAGCCTCTTTCTTTCACACATTCTGGGATTCTGTGTTTCAGTCCATGTATGCATTTCTATCTTATTCTCTGGTATTTTATACGGGATTTGCACTTGTTCTGCTTATGGGTCATTCTTTATTTTTCAATACGGTTCTTGTTGCAATTAAAGTTGTCTGTATGAAATTGAGTTTCTGTGTGAGAAAGCTTGATGTTATGTTGCAGTTGTCAGATCTTGTGATTATGGATGGCTACAGCGATTGGATACGTTTAGTTGCAGAGTTCACTTCCAAATCTTTGCTGTCCTGGCAGGTGAGCAGTTGTAAAGAATCTTTCATGTAGTTGTCATATTTGTTTGTATGATATTAATTGACTGTAGAAGGCATCTGGATGTGATTTGCCAATGTTGAAGTACTTCGAAAATTCTGCTTTTCTTCTAATTTTCTACCTGTCTTTGCTTGTTGTACATTCTCCATTGGAGAGAGCACAATGCCAGTTTTTGCTCTAAAATTGATTTTAAGTTTTGTGTCCTCTTGCAGTGGGCTAGCAGCAGTGTGTATTACCTTTTAGGGCTGTGGTCTAGGTTGGTCAGTTCTGTACCGTACTTGAAAGGTGATGCACCTAGCTTACTTGATGAATTTGTGCCAAAGATCACAGAGGGTTTTATCACGTCAAGATTGGATTCTGCTCAGGTATGTTTTTAATCACACTGACTATTCTTTGAGTAAAGTTTCTGAAAGTACTGTTTTTCTGCTTCTCCTTATCTCTGTCAGGCTGGGCTGCCAGATGATATTTCAGAGCATCCATTGGACAATGTTGACCTTCTTCAAGATCAGTTGGATTGCTTCCCCAATCTTTGTCGATTTCGAGTATGACCTTTGACAAATTTTCTTTTATGCATTCTCACTGTTGCCTTTCATTTTGTTATTATTTTTCCTACTCAATATTGTATTTCATATTGACCTATGTATGCATCTTATTTCAGTATGAAAGCAGTAGCATGTTTCTTATAAATGTCATGGAACCTATTTTACAAATATATGTGGTAAGCTGAAGGTTCATACAAGAAGGCTTTCTTTTTGTTGGATTCCTTGTTAGCTCCTGAGATTTTAAATGTGTTTTTCTAATAGGAAAAAGCTCAGCTCCAGACTGGTGATACCAGTGAACTTTCTGTGGTTGAAGCCAAGCTTGCTTGGATTGTACATATAATAGCTGTTATTGTGAAAATAAAACAGTGTGCTGGGTCTAGGTAACCATAGTAAATTCGCAATATATTATCTGATTTAAATTTCTGAGCCTCTTATTACAGCTTCAACTGACTCATAGTTTGCCGTTCAGTGTTGAGTCACAGGAAGTGATTGATGCAGAACTTTCTGCTCGTGCTTTGAGATTAGTAAATGTTGCTGATAGTGGGTTGCACAGTCAGGTAAACCAGCAGAAAATTAGGACTGTGATGTGGAATTTTAATCATTATTGATGAAAAGCATCTGCTTTGTATTGCTTCTTCTTTTGTAGATTGCCTGGCTTCTACTTGTTTAAACTGTTCGAAAGCTCTAAAATATCAACTTGATTATAGTTATTTTTAATTCGCACTCTCTCTTTATTGTGTGTTTGCACGTTTAGATCAATTCTCCATTTTATCAATGGTATTATTATTGAGATACAGAAAGAAAAATGAAATGTGCTGTTCCACTCAAGCTCTCCTTTTGGTTGAACATTTTCTGGAAGATCTGTATGGAAAAATGTTGCTTAAAACCTCAAAATCCTCTGTTAAGGATTTAAGTTTATTTAATTTGATTTTTCGTCATAATAATTCCTGTAACATATTTAGTGGAATGCTGAAGCATGCTTTATATACTTTTCTGATTGACAGAGATATGGTGAAATAAGCAAACAAAGGCTTGATCGTGCAATTCTCACATTTTTTCAGCATTTTAGGAAAAATTATGTGGGAGACCATGCAATGTATTCATCAAAGGTAATAATAGTTCCCTTTTCATTTTTTAAATCTTCGTTTAATGTTGCATCTTGACACTTGTTTGTTTTATTGCAGCAGTTATATGCCCGATTATCTGACCTTCTTGGACTCCATGACCATCTTCTATTATTGGACTTTATTGTCCGAAAAATTGCTACCAACCTCAAGTGTTACATAGAGGTAATATTTTTACTCTTGCATCCTCTTGCTGTTCTTGTTTAGGGAATTTGTATGGTATCTTAGTTTGTTCTTAAATGCAGAGTGAGGAAGTTATTGATCATACTTTAAGTTTGTTCTTGGAGTTGGCATCTGGGTATGATCTTGTGTTGTATCTTGTACATTAGAATTATTTTCATCCTCTACAGCAAGCTTTATGCATTTGTCTTGTCATTGTCTTTTCTTGCAGCTATATGACAGGAAAGCTACTTCTCAAGTTGGATTCTGTCAAATTCATACTGTTACATCATCACGTAAGTGCAACCAATCTGTTTTCATGAGACTTTTTTTTTGAGTGTTTTCATGACAGTTTTATTGTGCATCTATTTTGGTGGAAAGCTTTCTCATTCACCCTATCCTCATTCATATCCTTTTTCCTGGATTCCTGACTCTAGAAGGAGCATTTCCCATTTCTGGAAGAGTACAGATGCTCTCGAAGCAGAACAACATTTTATTACACCATCGGCTGGTTAATCTTCATGGAGGACAGTACTATTTTGTTTAAGCCATCAATGGATGCTCTACTGAAAGTATAGCTCGCTCCCTCGCTCCCTCCCTCCCTCCCTCCCTCCCTCTCTCTCTCTCTGCGTGCATGTGCTTAAAATTCTTTTACTTTCTTCAGTTAAATACCTGCTGCTTTTTTGATAATAACTTCGTTGTTATGAGCTTATTATTTATCTGAAAGACAGCAAGGCTAGATCTTTGGACAAAAGAAACAAGCTTTTATGGAACTTTGTCCTATAAATAACATGATGAAGTAATTGTAACAGGGCATATTCAATTGAAAATAAAATTGAGAAGAGCATGCCAAAGTTGCATTACAATAACAAAATGAAATGTTTTGAAGTGATGTTTACCCTTTGGTGCTTTATCATAAATAGCATTGACTTCTTTCGTGGTAAATAATCTCTTTTTTGCCTGTAGGCGGGTTTACTATGCCCTTGTTTGAGCCCCATTTTATCAAAAAACTCAATTTTTTCATAACTCATTTTCAACCACACATTCTCCAATAAACTAATTTTAAACGTAAATTGAAATTTTTTTCTTATTTCTTAATCACACATTCTCCAAAAATCACTATTCAAAAATACATTTTTTCCCCAAAATGGGGCTCAAATAAGGGCTATATGTATCCATAAATAAGGAATTCGGAATCAGAAAACTTATTTTAACATATTTCTTCGTTCACTATCGTGAACTGGTGGGATATAGAGGCCCTCAGCTGGGCATTCAGGTTAATGTAGTTAATAGCATTAATTCTGCTACAAGACAGCTCTGTCCTTTGAAGTGTTTGCAAATGGCAGACTGGTTGGTTCTTTGGTATTGTTTGTTTTAATCTTGCTTTTTAGACGGGCCAAATGCTTCCTAACTTCCTGGTAGAATAAATTTTGAAGGATTCTGCTTTATTGCCGCATCAGACAAAAAAGGGGAATAATAGAAGAAAAGAAGAGGAGTTCTTGTTTCACAATCATTTAGACAATGGCTATTTGTTGGCATTTGAAATTTCAATAGATCTAATGTTTTTAATTGCCATATTTTCCATCATTGATGAGTTTTTATCAAATTTTCTTGGGTGCCATTCAGGTTTTCATGACTTTGGAATCAACACCTGTGACAATGTTTCGAACTGATTCCGTGAAATATGCATTAATTGGGTTGATGAGAGATCTAAGAGGAATTGCAATGGCCACAAATAGGCAAGTGCATATTGTTTATGAGTTCTGTTTGTCGATGGCTTTTACCATAGCTTGCATCATCCTTCTTTTCATTGTTTTTCAGTCGCAGAACTTATGGGCTTCTTTTTGATTGGATTTACCCTCATATGCCTCTTCTCTTGAGGGGCATCTCACATTGGGCCGATACACCAGAGGTTATTTGACTTAATTAATCCTTGTATTTACTGCATTTTTCACATTCCTTTTGTCTCTCCTGTATTTTCTTTTAATTTAGTGCTTGATAGTCATCACATCTAAATTCCTTTAAACCGGTTTGATAGTTATATAGGTGAAATCACATTTTGCAACAATATACAGGATTGCTAAAATTTATACTTCTATCAGGGAAGAATGTCCACTTGTTTACTATAGTGTGCAATAGTCAATACTGCCGGAAAATAATCCCACTGCCAGTTCATAATTTGCTCAAAAGATCTTATTGCTCTTAGAGGAATCAACTACAAAAGAGTAGTGAAATCTGTACAAGACAATATCACCTCCCTTGCCTCTTGCTTACTAACATCCACTGCAATTATTATTCTGTCAGATAAATTCTCAATCATTCGATTAAAAAACTAATTGCTTAAATGGTCTATATTATTCATAAAAACAAGTTATATTTATAATAAAATTTCTAATAAAAAGGGAAAGTACACACGATAGTATGAAATATTTGTGTTAGTGCAGTCAGGATTCTCCAGAGCAGGGATTTTTTTCAGCTGTAGAACGGAAACAAAGATGTAGCAGTATTGATTGCATACACAGTGATTTCGCTCTGCTTCTGTCATTACCAATGGTCATATTTGGAATTTTTTTGACTAATTAATTTTGGCAATTTAGTTATGCAGAGATAATATGGTCAATAAAACATAATTTTGGATAATTGTACTTTTGGCAATTTATAAAGTAACATTTCTTTTAGAAAATATTTTCGAGAAAAACACGAGCTCCTTTTGTGACAGTCTTTATATTACTTTTTCTTGATCATCCTATTTTCTGCATCATTTTTTTTTCATATTAGCTTCATCTCCACCCTTATAATTACTTCTCATTAAGGATGTTTGCTTCATTTCTTTATATACTTCATTTTGTAACAGAGGTAACTTGACCAAACTCTATTACAAAATATTCAAAACCCTTAAATGTTGTTGAGCAGGGCACAGCCTTGGCAAAATCTTTTGTGGTCGATTTTGATACCAATTGAAGCAATAGAAGCTTAATTTGTGATGATGTATAGAAATGTTTTTATTTTATTTGTCCTGTATATGTAAGCTAGCAACTGATTTTTGTAGGTGACGACACCATTGCTGAAACTTATGGCTGAGTTTGTGCTGAACAAATCTCAGCGTCTAACTTTTGATACTTCGTCTCCGAAGGGCATACTTCTTTTCAGAGAAGTGAGCAAACTACTTGTTGCATATGGAACAAAAATATTGACTCTTCCAAATGTTGCTGATATCTATTCCTTCAAATACAAGGGAATATGGATTTCCTTGACTATGCTTTCTAGAGGTAAATATCATTGGCACTATATTTCGAGTATCCACCAAGCATTACTCTAATATAAATATAATCTTTATCATTACACGTCTTTGTTGGATGCCCTTTTGAGATGATTTTTGTGGTTTAACAAATTACTGTTATTTTGATGTGGTAAAGCCCATTGTGTGAGAAGGGAAAATACTGATGCTCTTGTACATGAAATTGCTCCCCACGCGCCGGGGTGGGGGTGGGGGTGGGGTGTAGACTAGCTGAAATGGTCTCCAATAATTTTGTTTATAAAAAATCATGAAACTGAAACCCCAAAGAGTTACAACCCAAAATGTTTGCTGTGCATCACAAGTTTGTAAACTGCCTTGGTAACTGTTGTAAGCATTGCTTGTCCTTGGTGGTGTGCTTGAAGCTTACGAGGAACTACAGAAAGAATTAGACATTGAATTGTGTTTGCATCTATGGCAAGGAAAATGAAAGTGATGGTAGTTTGAAGCTTGACTTGGATAGCTAGTTGGCAGTAATGAGGATGAGGAAAGAGGATACAGGAAGTGAAGAACTGGGTTCGTACTGGGGGGCTGAGTGAAGACTACAAAACATACTTGGTGGAGACAGATGTTTTGGCCTAGAGGAAAGATAGACGGGTTTAGGGTATTAAAGGGAAATTCAAGGGTGGTGATTCGTCTTAGCGGATTTGTTTAGTGTGTGAATTTGTGAGGTGAGTAGTGTCAGTTAAAGCCTTAACCCATTGGATCCATTCTGGAAGAGGAATAGCTCATGAGCATCTTGACTTGTTAGTTATTGAACAACTTTCAAACACCAGGTGAAGTTGCAACAATTAAGTGTCAGACTATCATAAAAATATTTAAATGTGTGTGAAATTATAATTGATTGTGTCTACTAGTTCATTTTTTTAGATTGTCTAAGAGTTGCATGAAGCAGTTTTTTAGTTTTGTTTCAGTCCAATACTCGAGATATATCTTTGATCCATAGTTTAATTTGATATTTGGATGAGTACAACCTCATGGTTAAAGATGCTATCTAAGTATGATATTTTCTGACTTTTAAAGTCTTTCCTCCCGATGACAGCTCTTGCTGGAAACTATGTGAACTTTGGTGTGTTTGAACTTTATGGGGATAGAGCACTCGCTGATGCACTTGATATTGCAGTGAAGATGACACTAGCAATTCCACTGGCTGATATCTTGGCTTACAGGAAGGTCTGTAGATACTTCTTATGCACTCTAGAAGTGCTAGTAGCATTTGATTAAAAAGTTGTAGCTTTACAAAATTCTTTAGCCTCTATGGTATGTATTTTCCTTTCTATAGACTTATATGCTGATCTACTAGTATGATAATAGAGATGGCATTGTGTGGATTGGAAGATTATTTTTTGAGGGGTTGTGTGTGCGCATCTTGGTCTTTGTCTGTGCCTTACTCAAGTTATAGGGAAATGTGTCTCTTGGATCTACTGCAATATTAAAAGAATTGAAGCACGTTTGTGACCACTTTTCCCATAGAAAAAATGTTCTTAATGTTTGGGAAGAGAGCACGGACACAAATTTCACAACTCGAAGCATGGTGAAGTGAACTTTTTATTTTTTTAAGATTCCAAAACATGAAGAAATGATGTACTAACACTAACTTATTCTATGCAATGGTGACATGGCTTACCATAAGTTAAGCACTGGTGCTTAGGTAATGATTTCCCCCAAAACATACTCTAATTATCTATAATATTGTAATTGAGAAAGTGCTATCATTACCGGAGTCAAATTAGATATAGAAATTGATAAGATCGTAAAGGGTCCATTACTACTATGTGCTGAAGAGAGGGATGGAAGAGTAATCTTCTCCCCTGGCTAGTTAATATACTTGCTGATACTTATTTACAGGAAAACTTTTAAATTTTTCTAGAATGAGCATAAATAATTAACTTTTTTGGTTTATTGGTGCATTTTGTGGCCAATTGATCTCGCCGCAAGAATCTCTGTGCTATTTGGATCAGTGGTGAAAAGTTTTTTACATTTCAAAAATATACATTGCAATTTATAATTATATATTTTGTCTACTAATGATGCTTGTGATTGTGGAAGATGATGTTTCCAAACTATCTTGTCATCTGGTGCAGTTAACAAGAGCATACTTTGCATTTTTGGAGGTTCTATTCAACAGCCATAATGTGTTTGTGCTCAATCTTGAGGCAAACACCTTCATCCATATAGTTGGTTCGCTTGAGTCAGGTCTTAAAGCTCTCGATACTGGAATATCCTCACAGGTATATTATGATGAATCCATCCCGGATGGTAGTTTTTCAACTATTGCTGCATATATTTTACTTTCTGCCACTGCACATCCTCTCTTGTAGTTGATTGTCATGAACTGTGATTCCATTTAATTTCAGCTGCTATTTCTGTTTGCCTGTCTTGTATATGTGTGCTTCATGCACGTGGTTGAATTGAATCACTAGGACTAGGACATGATTGGTTGCTGGTCTATTTGTTCAACTATTTTTCGAATTAACCTTGGCATTAGGCACTGGAATTCTTCTGGAACTAAGAACCTTGTAATGTTGGAGGAAACAGGATTGTTTTGCATAATTTGGAAGAGGAATTTAAAGCACGGGGACAGTTTCTTAGTTAGGAAATAGTGTACTGTGAGAGAAGCCAGCCTTGCGAAATTGCCAATCTTGCAGTTTTCTTTTTGTGGAGCAAAAATGGTTTTCTTTTTTTCTCCCAAGGATCACTAGCTAAGATTGTGATCCCTTTAATGTATTAACTGAAAAAATAGCTATAACTCTATTTTGTGTCTGATAAGTGAACTTTGAGCTATCCTGTGTTTCAACCATTTCTCATATTACTAAGAAGAGCGTACAGGCTACCGATCAAAAGAAAAAGAAAAAAAAATGAAAAAAAGAAAGAAGAGCATATAGGCTTGGTTTGAGGCCATAGAAAAATTCCCCTACTATTTAAGCGTTTTGATGATGGTATCAAAGAATTTAAGGTCAGTTTCTCATGCTTGTTACACTGGTAAAAATAAGTTTCGGTTTCTCGTTCTTGATATAAAAATAGGTTTTCTTTTATCACTAATACAGCTCATGGTGATACTGGATGGCGTATGCTGCTTAGTTTTGATGTCTTAGAGCTGCTACAGATTACTGCCTCTGAATAGAGTACGCGCTTGTTTGGTAGAGATTTTGACAATTGATTTTTTGATCATTAAAGATAAAGTGGGTCCTATCTGTGAGAGAAGAATTCAAAAAATGATGGCTGTAATAGTGAAATAACGGTCAAGAAATTGATTTTAATTGGCTTTTTAACAGCACCAAACAAGCTCTAGTAAATGTTTTACAGCACTGTATCTTTTTCATCTTCATTATGCAGCTGGATGGATTTAGTTGACTGGTTAAATTTTCAGGCAGTTCTTTGGTTAATGTGTTGATTCAAGTTTAAATAGATGCTTTTCTTTTTGCCACACCATAGAATTATTAATAATCTCATGATCATACTTACAATGTCCAATTTTCTATTTGTGTGTCAGTGTGCATCTGCAGTCGATAACTTGGCTGCTTTCTATTTCAACAACATAACCATGGGGGAGGCGCCTACTTCAACAGCTGCAATTAATCTTGCCAGGAACCTTGCAGAATGCCCCAGATTGCTTCCAGAAGTAAGTGATGATTCTTCTTAAGACGTAACATTTTTTCTTGTGCGGCAGTTCTCTTGTTGTCCAAAGACTACCCTCATTTTTCACTTTGGCGACAAGTACATTTGCTTTAAAAGTTGTTTCCTCCTAGTTATTGATTTCTTATTATCATGTGGATTATTTTACAGTAAATTTTGGGGTAGAAAATACTTGCTGAATTCTCTTTCTAGGCGGGTGTCAAATTGTTTATATTGGTTTCCATCTGTGAGGAATTACAAGCTGAGTTTTTGTTGGATGATGTCTCTATCATTTACCAGAAATTGACATATGACACATTAATCAAATGTTTATATAATACGTCATCATGCAAGGACGAACATTCCACCCTAGTGCTGGCAAATATTGATTGTTGACTCAGTGGCATGACACTGCAAATTGTTGATGATCCGTACCTGGACTTAAAATACTGTTTCTAATAGAAAAAGATTAGAAAATCAAATGTGAAATTTTTGCAATGTAAATCATATGCCGTTCATGCACATATCATAAAATCTATTCCACTTGATCGAAAGTAAACAAGGGCATTATGTTAAAGATGCTCCATGCATGACGACTTGTACCAGATGGAAGCACTAAGCAACCTATCCGATAATTCATGGACTTCCATATGTGCTTATGGCTCAATTAACATGTATTCTCTCTGTTCCATAAAGGTTGTTGGGATTCACTTTTCCAACAAACTCTTCTAAGTCAAAAAATTGTTTTCTTTTTCGTAAGGGGCAGAGTAGGAAAATAAATTAAGTTAATTGACTTTAGTATGGTAGAAGTCTTAAACTAGACATCCTCTGACATTTACATGAATACGGTCAGTTAAGCTTGCATTTGGACCCACTACCTGGCACCTGCCTTATGGTTTTCTTATTCCGATGAGTAATATATCAATGTTAACGATTGTTCTGAAAATGTTAATCCTTGCTTTCCATGTAATGACGTGTTCTAATAAACTTGTTTGTGCTTTTATATGTTAATCTAGTTTTTAGCTTCCTTTTTTCAGATACTCAAAACTCTCTTTGAGATTGTTTTATATTCGGACTGTGGCAACCAATGGAGTCTTAGCAGGCCAATGTTGAGCTTGATACTCATAAGTGGGCAGGTGATTATGGTTGATTATTCTCTCTCACTCTCACTCTTTCTCTTTCTCTCTCTCTCTTTTAACTTTATCTGAAGCGTGTTTTCTAGGGAAATAACTTCTAATTATCATTAGACATCTATAACATAGTTTTTAATTGGGTGTGCTGACACAAGAATAATGAAATGGATACATGATAAAACAGGAAGAGATAGTGAGAAATGAGCTCTGTTTTAGCTTCTGTTAAGAATTTCTTCTCGTTTCTTCGAATTGACCATACTTGGCAATGGATCTAAAAGACAATGATATGTGTGCAGATGTTTACGGACGTGAAAGCTCAAATTTTGGCTTCACAGGTATGCTATATTACCACCGAGGCAATATTAGCAATTGTAATCTATTTATTAGTGGACGTGATTGCAGAGCATTGATTAGTTTCTATTTGTCATTTTTGGCTGTTACAGTTCTTGATGTAGATTATCAATCTGAAATTGCCGCTCTCTCTAAAAATGGTTGCCAAAAGTTACTAAATTCCTAGCCAACTGAATTCTGTAAAGATGATGATTTTCTATTGAAACTAGTTTTGCAATAGTAGTAGTTCTGTTATTTCATTGTTATTCTAAGGAGTTGGATGAAAAATAAAGCAACTTATGAATTATCATACCTCAATATCTGCCAACTATAGTTATTCAGCCTACGTCCCCACACGTTTCCAAATTGATCACATTTTCTGTCATTTTGCAGCCTGCTGATCAACATGAGCGCCTTTCACTGTGTTTTGACAAATTGATGGCCGACATTACTCGAAGCTTGGATTCAAAGAACAGGGACAAGTTTACCCAAAATCTCACCATATTTAGGCATGACTTCCGTGTGAAGTAGTTAGTGCATCCCTTCGTGACCACTGTTCCTGTGTTAGTATGATGCAAACTTGATCTATATTGTGGATGGATTCACTGAACTTTACCCCTCTGGAATCAAGCATATATTTTTGTGGTAGTTGAAGGGCTCTTCTGCAGGTTGAGACCTCTTTACGAGTAAATTGGTCCCTGAGAAATGAGTTGAATCCATGGCATTGTACATTCGTTTTTGAAATGGTGGCAACTTGTGAAATAGACTAATAGCATCAGAATAGGATTTTTCAGGCTTATGGCTGGTGAAATTGGGTTTTTGGTTTGATGGCTGATGTATATTTGGAAGTCCCATCAGTTTGAAGGGGGTTTGTGCATTCATATTATTCTTTTAGTTGTGGATGATAGAAAAAGAAAATTAAAAGATATTTTGTACAAAATATTACTCTATATTCATGGTTTTAAGTAGTAGTGAAACTTAAATTCAGATTATGTAATAGAAAAAATGAAGGTTAGTTTGATAGTTTCCAAGTTATGATGCCATTTTGTTTGGGTTTGCTTAACGTCTTGACAATGATGTATGTAGCGTGAAAGAATGTAATGTGCTTGAACATGCTTTCTCAACTTTTCATTGCTATTGTTATTATATAAAAAAAAAAAATATTGCAATTATTGTGACAATTTTTAAAAATTGAAATTCATGATTCAGGTTGAGTTTAATAAAAAAATAAAAAATAAAAAAATCACCTTTATAGTGGTCAAGTTCTTGACTTGGCTAACTATATTGAGAGGGTAGAGAATTCTTGATTCAAGTTGAGGGGGGGAATTTTCTTATTCAGCACCTCGCCTCTTGATTTGAATTTTAAGTCAAGAGAGGGGAGAAAATCCATAAATAAAAGAAATTGGAAATTTGATTTCTCCTTATATGTCGTAACATGCACGAATTATTATTATACTTTATGTTATGTTTTCGATTGGCTATAAATTTAAACATGGGAAAATTTCATAAGTGAGAAATTAAGTGTGGTATATTTCAAAATTAAGAAAATAAGTTTCAAAATTCAAAAATCAGATTTTTATTTAAATATATTTATTTTATTAATTATTTTATTAATTTAATATATTTAGGTCACGGATCTATACAATTTGGTCACGAATTAACAATTTAATTACTAATTTATTATTTTTTGGTCACAAATCAAAAATTTTATGTCACAAATTATTTTACGATCACAATTCAAAAATTTTGACGGTCACAGTTTATTTATCGGTCACAAATCAAAAAATTAAGTAGTCACGGATTAATTTCTAGTCACAAATTATCAATTTATTAGTCACAATTTATTTTTCGGTCACAAATTATTTTACGATCAGAATTCGAAAATTTTATATGTCACATTATTTTTCGGTCACGAATAAAATTTTTTGGTCACATATTAACAATTTAATTAGTTATTTATTATTTTTTGATCACAAATCAAAAATTTTATGTCACAAATTATTTTACGATCACAATTCGAAAATTTTATAAGTCACAATTTATTTATCGGTCACAAATCAAAAAATTTATAAGTCACGATTTATTTATTGGTCACAAATCACGAATATTATAAGTCACAACTTCTTATACAGTCACAATTTATCAAATTGTCGGTCACAGATTAAAAAAATTTTAGGTCACACATTATTTTTTGGTCCCAATTTATATTTTTTATTGGTCACAGATTAACTAATTTAATGGTCACAGTTAGCCAAATAATTTGTGACCACCACCCGACACTTGTGACCACCATCTCACCACTATTTCCAACACCACCACCACCACCGTCGTTGCCAGAAACCACCACCACCATCGCACCCACGGTACCAGAACCCAATCACCACACTACATCGCACCCACAACACCACAACCACACCCATAGCAACACAACTGCACATACAACGCCACAGTCGCCAAAACCACCATCCCTCGACACCACCACCACGATGGTCACAACCACAAATTGGGACTATTGCAGCCGCGTCACCACCACCAACACAATTGCACCTATAGCAAACACAACCACACACACATTGCCACATTCGCCAAAACCACCACGACCACCATCCCACGACAACAATGCGCCAGTCACCAAAACCACAACCACCACCATCCATCAACAACACCACCATGACGGTCACAAGACAACAGCACCATGACAGTCACAACCACAGATCGATACCCTAATTTCTCCAAGGCTGCATCGCCTCGTCTGAAACGACGCACTGCCTGGAACATGGAGAAAGCACCATCTCATCTCACCACACCACAGCCACCATCCCAAAATCACTCCACAGCTACCACAAATTTAGATCCAACACCACTAAAACTCCGATTGACTTCCACCACTGCAGAAACGGGCGCTGTTGCCGCGAGCTACGTTGCCCAAAATCGACGCCAAAATCATCACCTCAACCTTACCATCACTACCAATAAAACCACCGAATCGTCGTCGTGGCTGCAGCAACCGATCTCGCCACGTCAACGCTGCCGATTACAGATCCCGATAGATAATGAAGGGAGGGGAGAGATAGAGAGGACAGAGGCGAGAATGAATCGGTTTACGGGTGGGGTGGGTATATCAATTTAATTTTATTAGGGTTTGGGCTTTTGGTTAATAAAAATATTGATTAAAAAAAATTCTGATTTTTGAATTATTAAACTTGCCATATGATTTTTGAAATTCTGATTTTTGAATTGTTAAACTTGCCATCTGATTTTAGAATGTTGTATTTTTAATGTATGATTTTGTGTAATTTCCACATATGAAGTAACAATCGTATGATTGAAAAGTTGTGTAAAATGTGCAGTTAAAATTAATTTTTGACTTTAAATTTGATTTTAATTAGATTTTTTAGAGGTACCCATGGGCGGATCCAGGGACGGGCTGGGGCTGTGCTACAGCTCGTCTCTTCGGCCCAAATGTCGATTAAAAATAAAAATTAAGTAATATATTTTTTGTGGAAATTATAGATTCTAATAGATTAAAAATCCACATTTCATAAATAAGATGCCATGTTTAGTATTTCACAAATCAGAAATTTTTTTAATTAATTAATATAATTAAAAATTAATTAAATCAATAATTTCAAAGCTAGTTATCGCATATCTCTCTCTGCCCAATCTCAATTGCAATTCTCTCTCTCAATTCCCTCCCTCTCTCTCATCGACTGCGCGTTTCCCTCTCTTCTCTCCTTCATCTCTGTCGGCGGCGCAGCTCGCGCCACTGCCGCGAGATGTGTGTGTGTGTATGTGGGTCTGGGCGTGTGTATTCGGCGGAGGTGGCGTGAGTCTATGGTGGTGGTGGTGTGCTGTGTATTCACGGCAATCCCTCTCTTCTCTCCATCTCCGTCGGTGGCGCAGCTCGCATCACTATCGCGAGATGTGTGTGTGTGTGTGTACATGGGTCTGGGCGTGTGTATTCGGCGAAGGTGGTGTGAGTCTGTGGTGGTGGTGGTGGTGTGCTGTGTATTCGCGACGATTCCTCTCTTCTCTCCATCTCTGTCGGTAGCATAGCTTGCATCACTATCGTGAGATGTGTGTGTGTGTGTGTGCGTGGGTCTGGGCGTGTGTATTCGGCGGAGGTGACGTGAGGCTGTGGTGGTGTGTGCGTGACGGCGATTCCCCTTTCAGTGGTGTGTGCGTGACGGCGATTCCCCTTTCATTACAGCATTGTGGATTTTGTGTGGTGGTGGTGTATTGCAATCGTTGCAGCATCGTAGATTTCGTGCAGTAGTGGTGCGCTACAGATCCCCTGATCTGTGGCAATCGTGGATTTTGTGTGGTGGCAACGACGGTGTTTGTGTGGTGGCAGTGTTGTGGTGGGTGGTTGATCTTGCGGTGGTCTATTTGAAGTGTTACAGTGGGTTGTTTGAGGTGCTGTGGTGGCGGCACTCAATGGATCTGGTGTTTGTGTGGTCTGTGATTCCCAATTGTGGTGTTGGTGTTGGTGTGTGGTGGGTGGCGGCAATAGTGATGGCGATGGCAATGAGAATTGTGATTGTGACTAATTTCGAATTGTGAATTGTGGCTCACAATTGGATAAGTAACATGAAATTTGTGACTGTGACTTCCAATTGTGACTCACGATTTATTAAATTGTCGAAAAATTTATCGTAACTAATTAATCCAATAATTTGCAACAAGTAAATGAGTTGTGACCAATAATATTTTCTAGGTCACGCATTATTTTTTTGGTGGTGGTCACAAATTATTTGGTTGACTGTGATCATTAAATTGGTTAATCTATGACCAATAATAAGTGACCAATGAAAAAAATAAATTGTGACTTGAAAAATTGTTAATCCTTGACCGATAATTTGATAAATTGTGACTATAGAAGAAGTTGTGACTTGTAATATTTGTGATTTGTGATCAATAAATAAATTGTGGCTTATAAAATTTTCGATTTGTGATCGATGAACAAACTGTGACCTATAAATTTTTTGAACTGTGACCGTAAAATAATTTGTGACATCAAATTTCTGATTTGTGACCAAAAAATAATAAGTGAAGAATTAAATCGTTAATTTGTGACCAAATTATATAAATCTGTGACTTAAATTAATTCGTGACTAAAATTAATAAATAATACGTGACCTAAAAGTTGTGTTTGTGACTTATAATTTATTGAGTTGTGACCGAAAAATTAATCTGACCTATAAATTTTTTGATTCGTGATCGAAAAATAATATGTGACCTATAAAATTTTTAATTTGTGACCGAAAAATAAGTTGTGACCAATAATATGATAAGTCGTGACTAAAAATTAATCCGTGACTAATTATTTTTGGATTTGTGACCAATAAACAAACTGTGACTTATAAATTTTTTGAAATGTGATCGTAAAAAAATTTGTGACATAAAATTTTTGATTTGTGACCAAAAAATAATAAGTAACTAATTATATTGTTAATTTGTGACCAAATTGTATAGATCCGTGACTTAAATATATTTAATTAATTAAATAATTAATTAACTAATTAAATTATAAATAATTTTTAATAAAAATCTGATTTTAGAAATTTGAAACTTGTTTTCTTGTTTTTGAAATGTGCCGTAATTAATTTCTTAGTTATGAAATTTTCCCTTTAAACATTAATGATAGCCATTGAACTTACGGTTGTTGAACTTAAAATAAATAAATAAAATAAGAGAAATAATTATGTGAATAATGGAAATTCATATTATAAATTAGAGAGAACAAAATAGAGAAATTAATAGACTTGTGTATTTTATTAACAATTATAGCCCCATATTTATGGGAAAGAATTAGAGTTAAAAGAGATTAAACAGTCATATATATTAGGGTTGTAGGGGTATTTAAATCATTCATAAATACTACTATATTTACGTGGAATTTGAACATTAATTTTTTGCCATGTCATTAGGGTTCAGTGGTTAGTTTGAAATTGTTGCAGAAGGACGGTGATAAAAAAAAATATGGTGAAAAGTACCGTGATTATTGAGATATATTAACCTGATACTTTCTCTTATCTTTTCAACACGAGTAAACAAATAAAAATAGTTTATTTTTCAATTTGAAATAATAAGTGTTGTTTTTATTATTTCAT